ATAGAAGACTATGCTAAAGAAAGTAAATATAGATTAGAAGTAGCATATAAGAGAGCAAGAGTAATGATCAAGGAAAATAAAAGAAAGAATAAAAAGTTATACGATTCAAAAGTAAATGACATAGGAATATCAATAGGAGATAAGGTCTTACTAATTATATTGGACCATATAGGGTCACTGGTATAGAGTATAGAGATAATATAGTAATATCAGATACTAAAAATAGAAAACAAAAAGTTCATAAGGATAGATTAAAAATTTGTAATGTAATTAATAATCCAAAATTTTCTTTATGAATTCAAATTCAAAAAAAAAAAAAAATCAAAAACAAAATTAAATTAAAATATATGACGGCCTGATCAGCCAAATGAAAAAAAAAATTTTTTACAAATAAACGAATTATTACAATAAAATTTATCTTTAAACAAAATTTTTATACCTTTAATACTTTTGTATTTTTATATTCCAACATTTTTAAATTTGTTGTTATATACGAAAATTTCAATTAAAAAAAAAAACAAACCTCAATAATTAAGTTCATTAAATAACTACACATTCATAATGTTACGTTATTTCTCTAAAAGGGGAGGTGTAGTGCGTATATGCCCTTACAGAATACCCTGTTCTTAAATATAAAGTATGCAGCACTTTGTTGCATACAATAACAATAATATAGTAAACAAGCCCAGAGCCAGCGCGGTTCACTAGCCTCACTAGCTGACCGTTTATGCTTACGCTGCATATCCCACGCTCCGTCTGAGCGCATTCCGTGAGCAATATACATATATACTCACTAATACAGGCATATGCGAGCTACTCACTCTCCCTCTCTTTGTAGCTGTTAACCAATAACAGCATAAGTATATATGTATATCCATAGGCTAAGCGCACATTTTTAAAGCCGAATACATTCATTAACAAGATACCCACAAAACTGAACTGACGTGCTGATTGTTTTCATTTATTAAATACATTTATGGAAAAACACCAAGTGTATTTCTACACTCTATATATAAAACTGTTTGTCCTGACTAACTGATTTATTGACTGATTGATTGGTGATTAACCCAGCGCATGCCGTTAAAGCTATAGCTGAAATTTTCACTGTAGTTACTTTTTGTGATAAAGGTGCACGTAAAAATGTGTGAAAAATCGCGAAAAACGGTTGTAATAAACTTTTTTGTTTACCATCCGATTGTCCTCAAGCTCATATTCAATAATCTTTGTTCAAATTCATTTGAGGGCTGTTTCGTTCTTTTCGACAAATGCATTCCCCCTTGGTCGAAATGGAATTTTATTTCCAAGGATATATATGAAAAATCATTTTAGACTCGTCGGAAAGTGGGATTCTAGGATGTTTTTGGTAAGGTTTTAAGTTTTGTCCGATTTGCTTCAAATTTATTTTCAAAGCTCTACATAAAAACTGAATGTATACGTGTTTCAGCAACTTGGAAGATTTTACCCGCAACACTGGTTAATTGCCGGGGTATTCCCGCTAATTATCAAAAATAGAATAGAAATAGAATATCTGATATTGACAGATTTAATAAGACGGAAAACGAAAAACTAACGGTTATCTCTATATATAAAACTGTTTGTAATGACTGACTGACTGACTGACTGACTGACTGACTGACTGACTGACTGATTGGTGATCAACGCACAGCCCAAACCGTTAGAGCTAGGAAGCTGAAATGTTCACTGTAGTTACCTTATGTGATGTAGGTGCAAGTTAAGACGGGGTTTCGGGAAATTCCACCCGCAAGTGTGAAAAAATCGCGAAAAACGTTTGTATGTAACTTTTTTGTTTACCATCCGATCGGCCTCAAACTCATTTTCAAAGATCTATGTTCAAATTCATTTGAGGGGTGTTTCACAATTTTTGAAAAATCCCCCTTGGTGCAAATGGGCGTCGAAGATTGGGTGGATGACGTTTTGTGTTCAATTTTATTTCCAGAGATCTATAAGAAAAATAATTTGAGATGTGTTTCACTTTTTTCGCAAAATCAAAACTCCTTCGGTCGAAAATGCATTTCAAAGAATTTTTTGGTGAATTTTAAGCTTCGTCCGATTTGTATAAAAGTTATTTGATTCCCGTCCGATCAGTTTCAACATAATTTTCAAAGCTTTATGAAAACATTGATTTTATAACATAGGTGCCACGTGCAAGGCCAGGTTATACCCGCTAGTCGATATATATAAATATAAACATATACACATATGCACTTCACTCTCTCACTGAGTGACTCTCTCACTGAGTGAGGCTCAGTCAATGCTACGTTCAGACTAGCATTGAAATGGCATCAACATTCAACAACTCCCCTTTTAAGGGAAGTAGAGTTTAAATCCTATAATATTGCGAAAAAGTTAATGTTAGAAAACGATCGGATGAATTCAGTTTTATAGACCATTGCAATAAAAAATACAATAAACATGAAGAAAAAACTATTTTTAATTTTCCAATTAAAACCACCAAACTAGACGTACGTACTATAAATGGTATAGTACAATTCAAGTAAAGTATTTCTATAAAACCAGACAAAGTGTGCTCCATCCAACAAGATTTTCTTAAAAAAATGATTTCGATATCGATTTTGCTCGATTACTTGGAAGCGGGGCAAGTTATCGATTATCGGTAACAAACTCGTTGTCTGGCTACAGCATCGTCTTCTTATCTTGTTATACTTGCTCTATAAAGCAACTGCTTAAATTTCGCTCTTAAGATTATTTACATTAAGCTGGCGCTCTTCGCTGTAACGATCATTTATTGCCATAACATTACCTTTTGCGAAGGCCTCGATGCTGTGCGTCGATTCTAGTTAACATTCTTTATTATTTATATATTTTTATATATTTGATTCACATAGTAAATTATGGTGTGCTTGCTTGTTTTTTAAAACCATCTCTAGACACATTTCAATGTTGAAAGCCTAAAATCGTTGTTTACCTTGCTATTCTTTTTATTATGGTATTGTACGTTTAGTAATTACGTTAATTTCAATTTTGTTATCTCTTTTGTTACTTTGATTTAGCGCTAAGTCTGGCTTGGCTTGGTGTTTTGTTTTTTTACTTGGGCATATCTTAAACTTTAAATAGCAACATTTAATTGACTTTGGGGGAAAAATTGCACCAAAATTTAATAAAGGCAGGCAAAGAAAACAGTTAAGGTAAGTATATTTAACCTAAAATAAATTATTTTCTTTTGAATAGTACTATTTACAATCTCATGAATGTATATTCAAAGCACAATTTAAATTTAACTAACGAATAAACAACTAGCAAAATAACACAAAGTATAATACTTTGTTCAATGTGAGATTGAGAAGCTTAATAATAACGGCTTCTTTAGTTTAACAACAATAGTAAATGTTTGGAGTTTTTTGCACTATATAAATATAAGTTGAAATATAGTAAATGTTTTTCTTTTTTAGATTTTGATAATTGAGTTCTTAGGAATTTTAAAAAACAATTGCATTTAATTTCATATTAAGGAGGAAATTCTTTATATCCGAATAAGTATTGGTAAATATATAGTTATTTAAATATTTTGTTTTTTTTTTTTTGGTCTATTTAAAAGCTGAGCAAGTAACAAGGATAGGTCATTTAGCTATGTATATCTAAATGCTGGGTGATTGGAATGCATTTTGTGGGTTACATGAGGCACACTGATCAAACGACATGGACTAAGCTAGGGCGCAATGCCCTTTCTTTTTAATATAATATGTATGTGTATATATGTTGTATACTTTATATGTATATTCCGATAAATTATTGTACTCTCTTGCATAATTTGCATATGTATTATGTATGAACTAAGTATGTAGTAATTGTCCAATTGCATTTGCTCTAAATGTTTATGAGTATTTGTTTTTAGTTGGTTTTGTGTATCATAATTGTTCTCTTGATTATGGGTTTTGTCTTTTTATTTTGGTTGCTGGCATTTAAGACCATCCACTTAGAGAGTTACATCATGTTCCTCATCGAGCATTTCGACAAAGGCGCGCGGCACCAGGCCCCTCATCAGACCCTGCTTACCGTACATGTAGTCCTCATTTACAGGTGAGCATTCGGCGACATAGATGACCTCGTTTGCGCTTAGATTCAATTCTGTGTGATCCTTGGCATCATAGGAGCACAGGACACGCGCGCGCTGCATTTGATCCGAGCTCACATTCAGTTGCATGGACTGATTAGCTTTGTGGCCGGCACTGCTGCTGTTGTTGTTGCCAGGATTACGTGCTCCACCGCCCATGCCGCCGGCGGCACTGGACTTGGCGGCATCATGCAAATCGATCGGTGTGTAGGGTGTTGGGCCCAAGTTGGCCAGCTCGCGCTGCAGTTGATCCATGACATCGCCGCACTGTTTGTAGTAGCGCACCTGGGTCTGGATGAAGGCGTGCAGATGGCGCAAGTGCGATGCCTGCGATGTGCTGATGCCATCCAACAGCAGCTTGGTGATCTCCGACTGACGATCAAATTCGGCCTGAGCCACGCGCAGGTCGCGCTCCGCCGCCTGTTGACCCAGCATGCTGCGTGCCTCCTTCACGCGATTCTTGCACGCATCCAAGTCCAAGCGCTTCGTCTCCAGTATGCCGCGATCCTTGCTGATGGTCTTCATTTCACCTTCTAGAAATTTACGTAACGGTTGCGTAAAGCATATGCCTGAGGTGGCAATGAAGTCGTGCTCGCACTGTCCTAACTTTTGCTCGGCCTGGCCCACTTTGATTAGTGCCTGGTCGTAGGGCATGTCCTGGCCAAAGTCGCCGCCCGCCTCAATCATGTCAAACGCCAGATGCTCCAAGTTGCTGAGTCGTTTCGGTTTCGATTTCTCAATCTTTTCGAATATATAATCCTCGACCCGATTCTGTGGATTCGGTATAAGCACCGATTCGGTGTCGCGCACCAACTTCTCTGTCCATGTTTTGGTCACGTCGGCGCGTTCCGCAAGATTTTGAAAGTGTATATCATACTCGGTGCGCTCGATGATGCCCAATTTCTCCTCCGTTAGCTGGACCACTCGTGATATTGTGCTACCCGTCTCCTTGACAAGGTTCTTCATATTAAAATTGGGCAAGTTGATGTTCATTTTCAGGTGAAGTTAATTAATTCAAATTAGATTTTTTGCAAGCCAATTCTCGTTTGTATTTATCAATAGTCTAATAAGAAGCAGAGATGCCAATCAATCGATGGCGAAGTACGTCCAACTAAGTTCGTTCGCTTCGCGCATTTGGTACGCATCGGCCACTTGCAGTATCAAAACATATTAATTTTTCGCAATTATCGCTTCGCTAAAATCGGCACGTACCAATTCGGGTTCGCTTGCCATTTTAAATCTATTGTTCTTAAATAATAAACACAGACCAATTCGGGTCTGCCTTCTAATCGTAACTAATAATAAATATATATATAAATTGGAGCACAAGAAATAACATAATGTTATACATTTCTATTTGTGAAAGCTATTGAAAAAGCTCAATAGCGCAACATTTTAGTGACCCTGACGTGATTTTGCTGTTGTTACATTATTGCTTTACATTTAAGCAACAAACTTAAAAGATCAGCAACCTGACATTTCGTTTTGTGCGGCTTATATACACCGTCGCTTTGCTTACTCTCTCGGTCGCTCAAAGTTTTTTGTTCTTTCGTGCGTAACTTATGTACAAGCTATTGCCGTTGCTTCGTTACATAGCTTGACACTTGCGTTCGGCGAAGTTCTTACAGCTATTGTTTAGGTGTTAGGTACTCAGCTAGTTTAGGCTGAAGCAAATCGAGCGGCTTCAGGCCTCATTTGATATTACTCACACTAGCCCCGAAGAGCTAGACTTCGATGAAATTGGTAGCCAATTGCGTGAGGACTTTGACGAGTTAGCCGCTTCTATGGAAAGTTCGGTTCGGAGTGAAATCGCGAAACGTGTGTCAATATTGCCCTGCTCAACATTTCGCGACCAACCTGTGCTGCCCGCGCAGACTGTCAGAGCTAACGCACCGCCGGTATCACCCGCATTAAAGTTGCCTACGTTCAGTGGTGGTTACACAAAATGCGCCGACTTTTATTCTATGTTCACAACCGTCATATAAAATCATGCGGATTTAGCAGATATCGAAAAGCTGCAGCATCTTCGATCGTGCCTGAAGGATTCAGCGCTGGACGCAATTCGATCATTGGAAATAACAAACGATAATTAAGTCATAGCACTTTATTTATTGGAGAAAAGGTTTAACAATAGACGTTTGGTTTTTCAGGCACACATACTTGAGATATTGGGGCTCAAGAGGGTGGCAGGTGGATCGGCCGTGGCGCTAAGGGAGTTGTCCGACCAATTCAACACACACATTCGCGCATTAAAGAGCATGGGCAACACCGAACAGATCGCTGAATGCATCATTATGCAGATTATCCTACGTGGCTACGTTTCTGGAGCAGAGATGCCGAACAATGGAAACCGTAAATTTTGCTATGGTAAGCTATGCCCCTAGCCATCAGGTGGGAAAAACTAGAGCAATTAAGACATGTAGATCGTCATTTATCGCCACTAACCACGACTCCCCTGTCTTCGTTTTTTGTGATTGCCCTGGTCATGGCATATATTGTTCCCGATTTGGAAACATGTCCCCTGCATTACAGGTTAGGGAGGCAAAACGACTTGCATTGTGCTCTGGATGCTGTCGGACCTGCGGGGCGAAGCATCATTCCCTGCTGCATTTAAATAATTCTGGTTTTCCATCTGGTCAGCTGACTGCGCCTGCTGATTCTTCGTCGATAGCCCACGCCTCATTCGCTAAGTCGTCGCCATCTACCTCTACCTCTCTTGTTGCCCGGCATTTCAATAGTGATGTTGTCCTCTTGGCTACTGCTATGGTGATCGTTAAAAATCGCTCCGGCACTTTGATACCTTGTTGTGCCCTTTTGGATTCCGGCTCTCAGCTTCACCTCATAACGTCTCGCCTTGCTCAACAGCTTCAGTTAAAGAAGCACAAGTCCTCATCCATTTTCTCTGGTCTAGGAGATTCTTGTTCTGACACAGAAGGAAATACGGCCACTATAACGATACAGTCTCGAGTATCTGAGTACTCAAAATGCCTCACAGTCCTGGTAGCGCCTACCATAACTGATAGTCAACCGAATTTTACAATCAATACTACGAATTGGAACATTCCCGCTAACATAAAACTTGCAGATCCGTCTTTCTTTAAACCACAACGCGTGGACTAGCTGCTTCGAGCTAGTTTGTTTTATGAGCTTCTCAGCGTCGGCCAGATAAAGCTTCTCCCAGGGCTACCATGCCTTCAGAAAAGAAGGCTTGGTTGGGTAGTTTCTGGAGGCGGACCGCGTTTGGGTGGTTCTACATTGATTGCGAAGCATACTGCGGGCAAACTTGAGTCAAGTTCTGAAGAACGTGCTGATGAATTGGTGCGTCGATTTTGGGAGATAGAAGCCTGTTTGTAAATTACACCTACCACATCAAAGGAAGAAACTGATTGGGAAGAGCATTTCTTAAGGACTCATACTAGGCAATCTGCCTAGTGGCCAATATTCGGTTCATTTACCATTCAAGCGAAGTTTGGAATGTCTTGGGACGTAATACCAACAAGCCTTTCGTCGGTTCCTGACCCTGGAACGCAAACTACAAAATCGTCCAGAAGATTCAATATTCAAATTTTCTAAAGGAATACTTGGATCTGGGTCATATGTCGCCTGTCGCTTCAGAGTCCGTAGGACTTTGTCAATATTTTCTTCCTCATCACTGTGTTTTTAAAGAAGACAGTTCAACGACAAAGTTGCGAGTCGTTTTCGACGGCTCCGCAGCTACCTCGTCTTTACAGCACCGGGCGATTTCCTCCAATGCATTCTGTTGCGAGACTCGCCAGAACAGGATGTAAATATTTTTAAGCTGGATACAGTTACATACGGAACAAAGCCAGCTTCATTTCTCTCTGTCCGTGTTATGCATCAGCTGTCTGTGGATGAGGAAATTAACTTCCCAATTGGCTCTCGGATTCTGCGGCGCGACTTCTAAGTTGACGACCTCATTTCAGGTGGTGACTCGATTCAAGAAGCACAGGAAATTCTTAGTCAGACGGCTAGAATCTTGGCAAGTGGGGGCTTCAAGCTGCGAAAATGGTGTTCAAATAATGATGCTGTTCTAGAAGGGATACCCGAAGAGGACAGAGATTTTTCTCTTCAGTTTGGTGAAGGGAGGGACATCACCAAAACTCTTGGGTTCGCTTGGGACTAAGCGTCGGATCGGTTGCAGTTTTCGTTCTCGTCCATTCATCCAAACCATCAAAAAGATCGATTCTGTCGACTATAGCTTGGACCTATAGGGCCGGTAATCGCTAAGGCTAAAATCTTTTTGCAGCAGATCTGGAAGGAGAAGCTTGATTGGGACGAGAGCCTGCCTTCATCACTAGCCACAGCTTGGAATAATCTTTGCTGCAGTTTTGAGAAAGCACAATTTCTTAAATTTCCTCGTCTCGTTTCTGCGACGCCAGCATCGAAGCGTATGGGGCCTGTGTCTACGTCATTTCTCGACGACCACAAGCCAGTTGTAAACTGTTGTGTTCCAAATCGCGTGTAGCTCCTCTGAAAACAATCACAGTTCCAAAGCTAGAGCTCTGTGGCGCCGTCTTATTAGCTAATCTCATGCGTGAGATATCTAAAATGGCACTCTTTGATGGAAAATTCTACTGCTGGTCGGATTCTTCTGTTTGCCTTTCCTGGATAAAGACCGAGCCCTGCAAGCTCAATGTGTTTGTAGCTAATCGTGTTAAGGCGGTTCAAGAGCTAAAAATTGGCATGGAATGGCGCTACGTTTCTACTTCACTCAATCCGGCAGATATACTCTCGAGAGGATCTACACCCAGTGAATTTAATCAATCGTTACTGTGGTTCAACGGCCGAGAATCTCTATGTGGAAACAAATTGGACTGCTCTTCTTCTTGGTTGCCAGAAAGGCCAGAACTCGAGCTAAGAAAAAAGGTCCTTGTTGCGTCATCTCCCTTCGTTGATATATCTGCCACTTGTAAATACGCTAACTTATTTGATAAAATGCAGCGTAATATCGCATATATCTATAAGCACAAGCAGGCATCCTGGACTAACAGTGTGTGATATACAGCATAGGACTTAACTCTTACTGCGGCTCGTCCAGAGAGCACACCTATGGGAAGAAATTAAATCACTGCGATCGCAAAGAGCTGTTAAGCCATCCAGTATCGCATCACTTAACCCTTTTTTGGATGAGTTCGGCATTCTTAGAGTTGATGGGCGCTTGAAAAACTCTTCGTTGGACTTCGAGGCTCGCCATCCAATAACTCTTCCGCGGCACCATCCCATCACAGATTCATTCAATAAGGTTTCACAATCGGGACTTACACGCTGGTCCACGTGCACTTCTGGCTCATATTCAGTTGCAGTATTGGCCGATTGGTGGAAGGAAGACCGTATCCAAGGTGGTTGGAAAATGTGTGAGATGCTTTCGTGCCAAGCCTCGATTAGTAGAGCATATAATGGCTGATCTTCCCAAAGAACTTTTGACTGCTTGTCGAGCCTTGGAAGTCTCTGGCGTTGACTATTGTGGACCATTTTTCTATAAGCCAGACGTACGTAACAAAGCTCCAGTCAAATGATACATGGCTGTCTTCGCCTGCTTCGTGACTAAAGCAGTTCACCTGGAGCTGGTCAAGGATCTGTCGACGGCTTCATTTTTAAATGCGCTCAAGAGGACCATCTCAGATATGGTCGGATAACGCTACCAACTTTGTCGGCACCAAGAACGAGCTTCTGGAACTCAAGCGTCTTTACATCAGTCACAATCATATTGACTCAGTGCACAAGTTTTGCATGGCTGACTCCATTGATTGGAAGTTTATTCCCCCTCGTTCGCAGCATTTTGGCGGCATTTGGGAAGCAGCAGTGAAGACAGCGAAGCATCATTTTTGTCGTGCTATCGGCTCTTGCGTTCTTAACTTCGAAGAACTTCGCACCCTAGTCTGCCACATAGCATCGATAATTAACACCAGGCCATTGTTGCCTCTTTCAGAAGATCCAGCAGACCTAGATGTGCTCACTCCAGCTCATTTCTTGATTGGTGGACCCAGCTCATCGTTTGTTGAGCCTGATGTTACGCACCTTCAATTCAATCGTCTGGATGGCTGGCAACGCGTAGCACACCTCCAACAACTGTTTTGGTCCCGCTGGCGTGAAGAATATTTAACGCTGCTTCAGAAGCGCTCCAAATGGCGTACTCCAAAACCAGGCCTATGTGTCAACGACCTAGTCCTCGTAAACGATGAAAATCTGCCGCCTCTCAGGTGGCAACTGGCGATGATCACGGAGTTAATCGTGGGAAATGATGGAGTCGCTCGCGTAGCCATCTTGCGCACCGCAACAGGAGAGATAAGCAGAGCTGCAAACAAGCTGTGCCTACTGCCCATCAAGGACTCAGTTGAAAGCCCATGCCTTTCAACGGGGGGAGAATGTCTGGCTACGCAGCTAAAACAGAAGGAGCGACCACGCCACTGATAAGAGCAGCATCTTATATCCCATCTTATAATACTTGCTCTGCGAAGCAACTGCTTAAACTTCGCTCTTAGGATTACATTTGCATTAAGCTTGCGCTCTTCGCTGTAACGATCATTTATTGCCCTAGCATTAACCTATGCGAAGGCCTCAATGCTGCGCGTCGAGCTAGTTAATTATAAAAACATATTAATTTGTCGCAATTGTAGCTTCGCTTAAATCGGCACGTACCAATTCGGGTTCGCTTACCTACAAAACCTATTGTTCTCAAATAATAAACACAGATCAATTCGGGTCTGCCTGCTTATCGTAACTTATAATAAATATATAAATAAACTGGAACACAAGAAATAAAATTAAGATATTTATTTTTTTTTGTGAAAGCTATTGAAAAAGCTTAATGGCGCAACATTTTAGTGATCCCGACGTGATTTTGTTGTTGTTACATTATTGCTTTACATTGAAGCAACAAACTTAAAAGATCAGCAACCTGACATTTCATTTTGTGCGGCTTATATACATAATAAGCAATCGCCGTCGCTTTGCTTCCTCTCTCGGTCGCTCAAATCATGTTGGACGGGGCACATATTGCCTGGTTTTAAGGAAATACTTTAATTGTACTATACCATTTATGGTACGTAGGTCTAGTGTGGTGGTTTTAATTGGGAAATTTAAGTTTTGTTTCATTATGTTAATCGATCATCATGTATCGATTACACACTTAAGTTGAATATTATTTGTTGTTTTAATAAAGTAAGGGTTTTCTCTTCTTCTTATTCCGAGTCCTAGGCAGCTTGAGCATTAGATGAGTTATGCCATTGTTGATTATTTATAGGGTTTTGCATTCCTTCTTGGTCCAAATATCGTTTGAACTCTTGCGCAAATTATGTTCTGTGCGATTCTGAGGTTTGTAATTATAATAAACTTAAATTGGTGACTTACCACATTATTAAAATTTTGATGTTTATTTCCCTTATTCATTCGACTATCATTATCTTTTTTAATTTGTTGTGGAGTTGACGGACTATTATAATTATTATGATCCAAAGTGCGTACTCCGAAGCCAGGCCTGTGTCAACGACATAGTCCTTGTCCGACATAGTCCATGGCCACTGGCGAGGATCACGGAGATAATCGTGGGAAATGATGGAGTCGCTCGCATAGCCATCTTGCGCACCGCAACAGGAGAGATAAGCAGAGCAGCAAACAAGCTGTGTCTACTGCCCATCAAGGACTTAGTTGAAAGCCCATGCCTTTCAACGGGGGGAGAATGTCTGGCTACGCAGCCAAAACAGAAGGAGCGACCTCGCCACTGATAAGAACAGCATCTTATATCCCATCTTATAATACTTGCTCTGCGAAGCAACTGCTTAAATCTCGCTCTTAAGATTACATTTACATTAAGCTTGCGCTCTTCGCTGTAATGATCATTTATTGCCCTAGCATTAACCTATGCGAAGGCCTCAATGCTGCGCATCGAGCTAGTTAATTATAAAAACATATTAATTTGTCGCTTAAATCGGCACGTACCAATTCGGGTTCGCTTACCTACAAAACCTATTCTCAAATAATAAACACATACCAATTCGGGTCACCCTGCTTATCGTAACTTATAATAAATATATAAATAAATAGGAGCACAAGAAATAAAATTAAGTTATTAATTTTTTTTTTGTGAAAGCTATTGAAAAAACTTAATGGCGCAACATTTTAGTGATCCCGACGTGATTTTGTTGTTGTCACCTTATTGCTTTACATTAAAGCAACAAACTTAAAAGATCAGCAACCTGACATTTCGTTTTGTGCGGCTTATATACATAATAAGCAAACGTCGTCGCTTTGCTTACTCTCTCGGCAGCTCAAATCTTGTTGGATGGGGCACATATTGCCTGGTTTTAAGGAAATACTTTACTTTAATTGTACTATACCATTTATGGTACGTGGGTCTAGTGTGGTGGTTTTAATTGGGAAATTTAAAAGTTTTGTTTCATTATGTTAATCGATGATCATGTATCGATTACACACTTAAGTTGAATTTTATTTTATTCCGAGTCCTAGGCAGCTTGATGAAAATTTTCAGTGTCTATTATCATCTGTCCACTGGTACTTTCCGATAAGGAGCATTAGATGAGTTATGCCATTGTTGATTATTTATACGGTTTTGCATTCCTACTTGGTCCAAATATCGTTTGAACTCTTGCGCAAATTGTGCGATTCTGAGGTTTGTAATTATAATAATCTTAAATTGGTGACTTACCACATTTTAAAATTTGGATGTTTATTTTCCTTATTCATTCGACTATCATTATCTTTTTTAATTTGTTGTGGAGTTGACGAACTATCATAATTATTATGATTCCCGCTGGCGTGAAGAATATTTAACGCTGCTTCAACAGCGCTCCAAAGTGCGTACTCCGAAACCAGGCCTATGTGTCAACGACATAGTCCTCGCAAAGGATAAAATCTGCCGCGTCTAAGGTGGCCACTGGCGAGGATCACGGAGCTAATCGTGGAAAATTATGGAGTCGCTAGCGTAGCCATCTTGCGCACCGCATCAGAAGATATAAGGAGAGCTGCAAACAAGCTGTGCCTACTGCCCATCAACGACTCAGTTGAAAGTCCATGCCTTTCAACGGGGGAGAATGTCTGGCTACGCAGCCAAAACAGAAGGAGCGACCTCGCCACTGATAAGAGCAGCATCGTCTTCTTATCTTGTTATTCTTGCTCTACGAAGCAACTGCTTAAATTTCGCTCTTAAGATTATTTACAGTAAGCTGGCGCTCTTCGCTGTAACGATCATTTATTGCCCTAACATTACCTTTTTCGAAGGCCTCGATGGTGTGCGTCGATTCTAGTTAAGTTCCTTCGCTTGCTCGGGTCTGCTTGCTTATCATAACTTATAATAAATATATATATATATATTGGAACACAAGAAATAAAATAATGTTATATATTTCTATTTTTGAAAGTTACTTATTAAAAAAGCTCAATAGCGCAACACTCGTTCTGCGAGGGTAGTAGGAGAACCTACACTGCAAATTTGAAGTCTCTAGCTCTTATAGGTTCTGTTATCCTTGAGTTCATACAAACGGGCGGACGGACGGACGACGATTCGACGGACGGAAAGACCAACGGACATGGGTAGAGCGCCTCGGCTTGTGATGGTGATCAGGAATATATATACCTAATTGGGTCGGAGATCCTTCCTTCTGCCTGTTACATACATTTACACAGTTACATTATACCCCTTTTTACTCATTTTAAATGGTTTCAGGGTATAATAATGTATGATAAAAGAATAATATACCTTCATTATGAAGCAGACCTCCTTATATTCCAATCTGCTTATATCGAAATCTAGAGTCCGAATAACATAATTAAAGTTATGAGATCCATTGATTATAATCAAAACTCACAGGAACCTGTTACACCCAGATATAACATTTTAAAACATTTTCTAGCATTAAAAAAATAAACATATCACTTTCCGGATTATTAAAATATCATTCAAAACACAATCAATGAATGCGAAGTATGCAATGCTACAAAAACTGAGCATAGAAATACCAAATTTCAATTTGAACTAACCCCAGAGTATTTAATCCCAATGACAAATACGTTATGATCTTTTACATGATCTTTAACAAAAATTACGCTATTGCGAAGATATTCACTCAAAATACGCCACTTTAATAGAAATCAAGGTTCCGCTTTCATGTGCGCTGCACTACCATTATGGTTGAAATCAGAAGGTCTAATCTCTATATATAAAACTGTTTGTCCTGACTAACTGATTTATTGACTGACTGATTGGTGATTAACACAGCACATGCCATTAAAGCTGAAATTTCACTGTAGTTACCTTTTGTGTTAAAGGTGCACGTAAAGAAATTCGCATGTGTGAAAAATCGCGAAAAACGGTTGTACAAAACTTTTTTGTTTACCATCCGATTGGCCTTAAGCTCATATTCAATGATCTTTGTTCAAATTCATTTGAGGGGTGTTTCGTTCTTTTCGACAAATGCATTCCCCCTTGGTCGAAATGGAATTTTATTTCCAAGGATATATATGAAAAATCATTTAAGACGCGTTTCACATTTTTCGCAAAATCAATGATTTCTCATGGGAAAGTGGGATTCTAGGATGTTTTTTGTAAGGTTTTAAGTTTTGTCCGATTTGCTTCAAATTTATTTTCAAAGCTCTACATAAAAACTTAATGTAAACGTGTTTCAGCAACTTGAAAGATTTTACCCGCAACACTGGTTAATTGCCGGGGTATTCCCGCTAGTTATCAATAGAACAAGCAAAAATATAATTTCTGATATTAAGAGATTTAATAAGACGGAAAACGAAAAACTAACGGTTATCTCTATATATAAAACTGTTTGTAATGACTGACTGACTGACTGATTGGTGATCAACGCACAGCCCAAACCGTTAGAGCTAGGAAGCTGAAATGTTCACTGTAGTTATCTTATATGATGTATTTCGGTAAATTCCACTCGCAAGTGTGGAAAAATCGCAAAAACGTTTGTATATAACTTTTTTGTTTACCATCCTATCGGCTTCAAACTTATTTTCAAAGTTCAAATTCATTTGAGGGGTGTTTCACACTTTTAGGAAAATCCATTCCTCCTTGGTGGAAATGGAGGTCAAAGATTTGGTGGGTGACGTTTCGTGCTCAAATTCATTTCCAGAGATCTATAAGAAAAATCATTTGAGACGTGTTTCACACTTTTCGCAGAATTCAAACTTCTTCGGGGGGAATGCGAATTAAAGATTTTTTGGGCGAAGTTTTAAGTTGTGTCCGATTTGCTTTAAACTTATTTTCAAATCTCTACATAAGAACTTAATGAATACGTAATTCAGCGATTTGGGAAATTCCACCCGCAACAGTATTAAATTGGCGGAAAACGGTTGTATGAAAGTTCTTTGCTTACCATCCGATCGCCCCCAAACTCATTTTCAAAGATCTATGTTCAAATTCATTTCCTTATTGCAAA